GTGTGCGTGTTTAACATTAGTATTTTTATTATTTAATTTGTTTTGTATTTTTATTTTAAAATATTTGTATTATTTATATTTTACTTTTTATTATTATTTATTTTATTTTTAATATTTTACTTTATTGTATTTGTGGCATTTTCTAAGGTGTATGTGATTACTCTTGCTTAAATTTGAACAATCTCATATTACAGACATACAATATGTGCCTGGCTGATGATAAAAAAGGCAAAAAAAATATTGTTGAATGTTTTAACCCCTTTGCTGTTACACCCCATTTTCGGCATGGAGACACAAATGACATACCCAAAATAAAAAGGTTGCTGCTCATCAGTCTTTCTGACTAGATACATAATCAACATAATCAGTCACAAAGCTGACACTTCAAAGTTTACTGTTCAATAATCAGAATTACTCAGACTGTTATGATAATAGAGATATAAAAGCTCAAACGTAAAAACAAAAATAAAATTTTTAAATGTATAAAAAAATATGTTGCTGTGGTAAATGCTTTTAGAAACACAATGAAGCTAAAGCCACGCTTCTACTAATGCTTAATTTCAAATTTCAGGACATAATCTCTAAAACTGTTATCCTCATTATTCCTTTATCATTATTCCTTTGTTTTTATTCAGCCATTATAGCCTTTGTTCTGGAATTACAAGGTTTACCAAGCCACATCGCTTTGATCCCAGTATACATTTACCCAACTATTATCAAAAGTCTTTCTAGAAAAATACAACAAAACATTTTCTTACGACCTTACATCAATTATTATGACAAAATACATTATGAAGAAGAACTGCACCTGTTCTACAGCTGCATTAGAGCTAACATTAGCATCAAGCTACATAAGACAATTTATTTGATTATTAGTACACTTTTACTCAAACCACCATTGAGTGTTTGTAATAACTTCCTTTTGCGCTCACATGTGGAATTTGGTCGTTTACTGTTGTTAAAATATGCTATTTATAGCCTTTTATATCGCTGCACAAATTAGCATTTCAGATGTACACATTCATTATTGTTATGAAAATACCCCAAATCTCAAGAAAATCACATACAAACCATATACTATCGTAATCGTGTGTTTATTATTTGGATATTTAGTGGGTACAGACGTTTCTCTGTGTTTGTAATGGTCAGATATGAATGCAGAAGAGCAGGGAAGCGCATCACAGGATGAGACAGGGCTTGTTATGAGACGCAATATGACTGACAGGTTGACGGACGAATGAGGTTCCTCTGAGTCAGAGCATGAGCACGGAAGTGTAAACATACCGAGACAGCCCAGGGAGCTGCTAATTATCGTCAGATCGCGTAAATCAGTGGAAAATAAATAGAAATGATGATTCTGTCTGAAGAAATATGAAGTAAACATGAGTAAATATATCTATATATCTCCATGTATATGCATCTTTGGACTATAAGCCCTTATTGACGCTGTTCAGTGAAGCTATGTGAACACAAATAAACCGCTGCAGACGTGACTGAATATGAATGCGTGGTGAATTTCTATTCAATGACATTAATATGAAGACTAGACCTAAAAAAAAGTTTATATTTGGCAGGAATACGAAATGATTTTATCTCACAGAATACAGAGAACTTAAATAAGAACTCTTATTGAAACTTGATTGAATCCCAGATGGACCTGAGGGGCTTCAGCTGAGGTGATGCAGTGCTGTAGAGCACTTCAATCTTTAATGAGCCGTAAAAGTGTGTGTGTGTGTGTGTGTGTGTGTGTGCGCGTGCACACATGTGCATCAGTAATACTGATTGACAGAGGCGGTGAAGAGAGGCGAGAGATAAACTTCATCCCTCTCTC